ATCAAGTTGGCGACTGAGGCGGTTCAATGCTGTGCCATCTGCAGGAAGTATGTCAGACTTCCCAATCGTCCACAAGTTCGAGCACGAGGAGCAAGCAGTTTCAATGAATCAGTACAGATGGACCTATTCATGTGGGAGAACACCTGGTTCATGCTTCTTTGTGATGAAGCAACTCGCTTCAAAATGTGCACGACGATTGAAGGACAAGAATCTGACGATTTGCTGACGGCATTTAAGAAGGCATGGATCTTTCTCTTTGGACCACCTCGGCGACTTGTTCTCGATCAACAGGTATCCTTGATGTCACATGAGACTGCAGCAGAGTTTGAACGACTCTCCATTGAGCGTGCGCCACGTGGCACAACACAAGGACATGGAGCCGAACAGCACACTGGCACTGGCTTGGTGGAACGACATGTGGGTCTGATGAAGCTCACCATGTACAAGCTACGAGCAGAACTTCAACGACAAGGCCTCGCGCCAGAGAATGAAGAGATAGCTCAGGAGAGCTGCATGGCTCACAACATCACCTTGTCCTACGGTGGCGTGACACCATTTATGGCAGTGTTTGGCACTCTTCCAAATGGCTTCTATGATCCTGAGAGCCGTGGCATTATGAGTGTTGTTGGAGCCCAGGAGACAGATGTCACTGTCTTTGAGAAGGCGATGAGAATCCGGCAAACAGCACTTGCACAAGCTCATCAGGCTGTGATTGAAGATCGTGTAGCACGAGCAGCCAGAACCAGGACACACCAGCTCGACCTCGACCAGCTTATTGCGGGTACATCAGAGGTGGAATTCTACAGAGAGGTGAAGAATGACCCTGGCTGGCGTGGACCTGCTTTGTTGCTACGGCTGGACGCTGATGACGGTGTGGCAATCATCCAATACCAAGGAAAGCCATATCTGGTAGCACTCAGACACATCCGATCCTATAAGGGCATTTTCCACTTCACCTTGCCGAACATGGAGACAGAAGATGCCTTGAGGAAGTTGATGAGATTTGTCGAAAGCCTCACAGAATACAAGACGAACATCTATGGTTGGCTGAAGAGAAATGGCAAGTGGCGATTCTTCCCTCGTGAGGATGATCATGCAACGAAGATCATGTTGTGGGTGCAGCACATCTACAAAGGTTTGAGTAAGCATCAAGTCCATGGAGCTCTACTTGGACGAAGCTTGCGGAACATCAAGCCTCCATCAAACACAGTTGGTCATCTCATCTCATGGATTCATGGAGGACAAGGCTACGCCGTGCAAGAGCACTTCTCCGACGGATTCTTGAAGATGAAGAGGGTTTCCAACTACTCTCGTGAAGAGATGTGCACCATCTACTTGTTCCACTATCATCCTGATCCTGTGGAAGAGCCAGCAAGTCAGTCGACCATCAACAAGGATGACGACAAGATGGACGTCAACGTTCCCGATGACAGAGGCGAGAAGAGAGATGCACCAGAGACCAGAACAGTGGTCATGGCACCCGAGAAGAAGAGGCAGCGCATATATAATGTGAAGAAAGAGCTCGATTTTCTACGACACCTGCATGTCAACATGACTGAGAACCACATCATTCAGATCGATTGTGGACATGATTGGTTGACAGGTTGTCACATGTGGTCAGAGGTATGCAATCAGTTCATGGTGGAACAACATCTCCGGGAGAAAGAGAAGCTTCCTCAATTGTTCCACTTCCACTACAAAAGGACGCATCAAGCATACGCATGCCTCAGAACTGCAGAGATCTACCAGGTAGATCAGGAGACTCGCAACATTGAAGAAGCAGACATCACGGCCGACATTTGGCCTGCTGTTGAAGAAGCTGATCGCAACGAGATCAAGCAGTTTGTTGACGAGAAAGCATTCGCAAAGATCCACAAGATGAAGATCACAGGAGAGTACGTGCAGATTGATGCACGGTGGGTTCGCAAGCGAAAGCGCTATCCTGACAAGAGCATTCGCATCAAGTCTCGACTTTGTGCGCGTGGTTGTTTGGATGGACAGAAAGGAGAGCTCACGACAAGGTCAACGACTGCTACAAGGCTAAGCCAAAGGATCCTGGTATCCAGAGCATCATGGTCACGCAAGATGAGCCTGGAAAGCTTGGACATTGCTGGAGCATTTCTCAAGGGCTTTGACTTTGAGAAGATCCGAAAGACCCTGCAGAAGAAAGGCATTCAAGCACCTGTCCGCATGGTGGTGATATTTCCTCCACTTAATGTTTGGCGACATCTGGCGGAATTCTCTGACGAGTTCAAGGTTCCTGAACGAGAGTTGCACAACTATGGACTGCTATGTTTGAAGCCTGTTTATGGGTTGAATGACGCTCCATTGGCTTGGCAGTTTTCTCTACATGATTTCATCCGAGAAAGCGGCGCGGAACCATCTCACCTAGATGAGAACTGTTGGACATGGAAGATGGATGGTGAGAGTATTGCAATGGTCACGACGCATGTGGATGACTTGGCGATCACTGGAACGCCTGAGTGGCTGGACGATGCATATGATTCCTTTGTCAAGAAGTTTGGCAAAGTGACACGACAGCAATTGCCCTTTACTCATTGTGGTTGTGAGTACCTTCGTACTGCAGACGGCTACATGATCAGCCAGCAGGAGTTTTCAGAAAAGATTACACCTGCACCTGTCCCTGCAAGAGAAGATGATTCCAGATTGACACCAGCAGAAGTCTCAGATCTGCGATCCATCCTAGGAGCACTTCTTTGGGTGACAGCGACACGGCTGGACGTGATTGCGGATGTCTCAGCACTACAATCACGAGTGACAGTAGCAGAGGTCAAGGATTTAAAGCAGGCAAAAAATGTGCTCATGAAGGTGAAAGAGTTTGCAGATGTTGGTTTGCACTACCGCTACTTCAGGACAAAGCATCGACGACTAGTTTGCTTTCATGATGCTTCGGCAGCCAGCAAGGGCCGGAACTATGCCCAGGAAGGTGTAGTCATTGCTTTGGCCGATGACGAATGGCGGAACATCACGATTGACTTTGAGCACACCTGCGAGACTGAGGAGCACGAGCTCATGCATGGAGGAGTGATGCATGTTTTGCATTCACATGGAGCAAAAGCCAAGAGGGTGAGCTACAGCACATCACATGGTGAGACACTAGCCATGGTGAACGCCTTGGAATCTGCAACCTTGTGTATGATCAGGCTCAGCGAGATGCTCCATCCTCAACATCCTCCATCGTTGAAGGACCTCATCAAGATCCAGACGGCTGGAAATCCAGAGATGCCTTTGGACATGTATGGAGATGCTCGAGATGTCTATGAGCTCATCACAGGCAGCAAGACGATGCCTCAGGACAAGACACAGCGGCTCTACGTTTTGTCCATAAAGGAAGCACGATTGGATGGCAGAGTTCGAATGGTGACATTGGTCCCAACGAACTACATGCTTGCCGACTCCCTCACCAAGTCCATGGTCCATGAAATGATGCTGATGTTGTTGACAACAGGTTTAATCAGACTGCATGGAGTGGAGAATCACCCAATTGTGACAAGGGTTCTTCCGACCATCGACTTTGACGAGCACGACCTTATGCTGAAGGACGAGGAGATGATCCTGAAGGCAGAGAAGGATGAGAGCATGGTGCGAACGACACATGCTTCAGTGCTTGTGGGACTGGCAGCGTTTGCCACTTCCAAGAAGATGCTGGCGGCGATGATGCCGACTTTAGCATTTGGAACTTTGGTGGATGCGCAATCCACTGAACCGGAGAATCAAGAGCAGAAGAGCTACTTCTCCGTGTACCTCATGATTTTCATCACGGTGATTTTGGCGGTGATGCTTGAGAGAATGGTGACAAGTTGGATGAGCAAGAAGAGAAGAATCCAACATGTGAAGATCGAGTCCGACGACGACGATGACATGGATGTCGATCAAGAAGGAGATCAACCATCATCCTCAGGAGCATCCTTCCAACGGAAGAGGAAAGCAAGTCCTCGAGACACATGGGAAGATCTTGCACGAAAGGTCATTGACGAGAAGGAGACGCTGAAGCGAAAGAACAAGAAGAGCGAAGAAGATGCACACCTACAGCAACAGGAGATCGACAGCCTCAAGTTTGACAACGAATGGTGGAAAGATAAGTATGAGCAGCTTGAGGAGAAGTACGATGACAAGGACTTCGAGCTGAAGAACCTCAAGAATGACATGACAGTGGTCAATGCAAGGAAAATGGTGCTCGAATCTACGGTCAGCGACATGAGAGCTGGACTAGTGAAGCTTGAAGATGAGAATGCCGAATTGAAGATGAAGCTGGACAGAAAGACAGCAGCATCATCGGAGAGACCAGCACCGCTGACACCAAGGATCACTGACAACGCCGAGATGGCCGGCGAAATCGAGAAGCTGCAGAAGATGGTCAAGTTCAAAGACCAGGAGATCATGAGACACCTGGCTCGAATCAAGAGCTTGGAGATGCCAGAAACCATCTTCATCACGAAGACTGGCAGGAAGTTCCATCGAGAAGGATGTCCACATCTGAGAGAAGGCGAGCATACAAGGCCAAAAGATGCCTTTGGCAAATGCAGCAGCTGTTGTGGCTGAGCATTTTTTACGGCGAAAAGCCAAGCAAGCCCAGAGCGGCAAACAAGAGGATGACCGGAGTGAAATTCTGAGTTCATGCCTCACGGCCTTATGGCTATGATCAAGTGTAGAACATGTTTCACATGACACGATACCGCAGGCGCCTTGGGCACAAATCTGTCGAGTAATTCTATGTAAGTGATATGATGTGACAATGTTTTGTATATGGGAAGATGAAGGTCTCAATTTTGGAGAAAACCGCATTCAATGGGCACTGAATGTCCAACAATGATTCTGCCAGCGTGTTGCTGGACACAATTCATTCCAGGAAACAACAGGTGTTACGAACACATGGAGGTCTTGACAGCAAAGGTATATTCATAAATCGCATAAATAAACACATACTAATCTTCCCGCAGAGTTCAATTCTTTCTGCGCCGGCCGTGCGCCGCTGCCAGGTGCTGGGCGGAATGCCCCATGATGAGACGGCTGACTTGTGCGCCGAACAACATAGACACAATTCAAGAGTCTTTGTCCCTGGTGGTTGCTTTGTTTTTGCTAGATTTCAGTGTGGTTTTTGGACGGGTGAACTTATTTGGTTGTAGAGTTTTAGATGAGGTGTGCATCACTCCGTCGTTTGTGGTGCCCACCAGTCAGTCTCAATGTAAAATCTGATGGGATGCCGGTGTGTAATTCCTTCTCCCTGAGCAGATAGATTTCAGATTGGAGCAGTTACTCAGACAGATGTTGGTCACCAATCAACACAATGACACGGATCAATGAACATGTCAGGAGACGTTTTGTTCATGTTCGGAACGTTCAACAGTGGCAAGATCATTATAGTAGCACTCATGGAATGCCTATGATCCTAGACAATCGATATCGTAGGATAGATCTCATGTCCTTGCAACACTCCGTTTAACACTCCAGGGAACCTCCCATGCCCACCGCGTTGCACACGTGGGCAACGAGACTTGAACATTATAACACTCCAGTTCGCCACAGGGCGGGGCATCCATTTCACCATCTGGTCCCGGTCTCCGAAACCTCCAGTGCGTGCGTCAGGTCAGAGACCATGTTTTTGTCATGTTTGTGACCGGCTCTGCACCGGAGTTCTCTCCAGTCACCTCACCCGAACCACCCGGCACCAGCAGCTCGTTCGGGCGGTGCCGCCGTTGTCCAGGTATTCCTTGGGTGTTTTGACTTGGCTTCTCTTCACGGGTGGGATGCCTGGCACGCAGCCACCAGTGCAGCCGCGCCCCGAGGTGCGGGTATGTTCGTTGGAGGTGAAAGAAAAACAGTCGACTGAAAAAGGGGGAGTTCGTGGGAGGAGCATTGAGAGGTTCCGGTCATCCAAAACCGTCCCTGGGATGTGTTCAAGGTGAACGGGGATCCCTCGACAGGGTTTTTGCTTAGGGATGCTTAGGGTGATTCTTCATTTTCCCTATGAGTGAATCCTGTCCTGAAGGAGATTTGTTGCCTCTTTTCCGGCTTCTTTGAGCAAATTGCAAATATACCCGGACCTGCACTACGAGATAGAACTATTGACTCCAGGTATCTCCAAGTCCAATTTGAGAGTCCAACTCGCTGCCAGGTCCACCAACATCTCTATGACTGGATGTTGTTGCGGAAGTGCGTGGAGGACCGCATCAGACGATCGATCAGACGACGACTGCAAAGCGTGGGCTAGCCATGAAGCTCTAGATATCTCTAAATGAGACTGTCAGCTCTCTTTAGACTCTCTATGTATAGGGTTGAGTCCACTGCTGATTACTACAAAAGCAAACTGGATCCTCTTTTCAATCAAAAGCGCCAACAAGAATAGCACACCCAAAGACAGGACATGTCGACCCACTAGCAAAACTGGACCCGAGCATTCATACAACGTCGTCTCAATAGACTACAAGGGTGTCCTGCAATTCCTCCAAAGATCTATGTCTAGTCCTGTGAAACATAGACGCAGTGAGGAAGGATCATTCGATCCAAAAAGAAGTCCCTCAGTGGGCTTTCCATGTATCCCATTTTTTGAGGGGCAGATGAAATTCATTGAAGTGCACTGACTGGTTTGTCTGTTTGGAAAGGAAGTTTCTGGGCCCGTTCAAAAAGTCACTGCTCAGAAGTTCAGTCCTTTGTCGTGTTTGTACCCATACTAAATCACATACCCCCCCCAAAATGGACAGTTTCCCTGCTCCACGTCCTCTGCTTTGCTTGTTTGGAGGGTCCCTTCTGAAAAACCGCACACCGCCTGTGAGGTTCTTCATCTCCCACCCTCCAAACCGAGCCTTCACCGCGGTGCCTTCGCCAGGACAACCTTCCGGCCTTCCGGTCGGTGGAGGGCGCGGAGCCGGAGGACGCCCGCAACTGCGTGCACCTCTTCGTGTCGCTTCGGCTCGAACGGAGGAGCGTAGAGGCTGAAGACGTGACGGATGCTGGCTAGGTTATGCATGGTGGTCGTTGGGTCGGAGTTTTGAAGATCACATGAGCAGCGTTCTAACTTCACCCTTTCTCTTTTAGTCAGGGACCGGCGAAAAATCAGTGAACACAGTGATTTTAGCTGATGTTCGTAAGGTGTCCTTTCCTGTTTTGCAACAACATAGCACATGTGACCACAGTGGACTTGCATACCTCCGCCGTAAGGACAACGTAAGAATAGCCATGCATACATGTGTCACCGTAAGCAAACAGGGAAAAACGTAAGCCTTGCGTAAGGCTTACCGTAAGGTTTCATTTCTCGGCAAGAAAAGACAACACCTTTTTTTTAACACCGCTCACATGAGATGACTAGAGTGACTAGATTACCAAGATGGGGTGGTAGGAGGCGAGGCAGAGATTGCATTTGGATATTTTGGAAGCTGCTTTCCGTGTAAATCACCAAAAGACCACTGACCAAGTTTCTGGAAGAGGAGCTGTGGTGCTGAGATGATTCTTCAGGTCTATGTCAGCCGTCCACAAAAAAGAACAGCGAGAACTCCCTACTGTGGAGCAAAGACCAGTCCTCTTACACATTCCAGCACGCAGATCTGCCAACAGGCACAGCAGTGTAGATGACCAAATCAGATAACCATCACCATGTTCAAGGATGTTCGTTTGTACTCCTGGTCTTGTCCACTGGGTGCAAGTTGAGAGGCTCATACACCGTCTAGGTGTTCATACCCACTCATCTGTTTCGTTCGTGGAGGTCGCTCTTAGGTTGGACGCCATATCGGCGATTTGAAACAAAAGAAGAAAAGGACGAAAGGTCCCACCTTCAAAGGGGTCACCTGGCTGGAAGCCCCAGCCCACCACTGGACCTCCAGACAGGACACCCCTCCAGTCAGGTCCAGGTCTGATTCGTGAGGTCACGAAAGCTAGCCTTAGCTAGCCCTCCCCCGGCTAGCTTTCGTTCACCCCCTCTGGCCTCAAGTCTGTCAACCACCTCGCCAGATCTCCGCTCCGCTCTGCTACGGTCGCGTCAGTTTGACGCGTTTGACCGTCCGGTGGACCCGCGACCGACGAGCAAGGCAGCCGCCCGACCGGAGGATGAGGTGCGGGACACGGTGGAGAGCTTCTTCCCATGGGCCGAGTGAGTGGGGTTAGTAGATGATAATGGATTGATTTGGCCTGCTATAGATGGGTATGCGGTCATTTCATTTCAATTGGGCGATTTTCACACACCAGATACCAAGGACTTTCCCCTTGATCGGTGGTTTTGGGGCTTCTGCGACAACTGGGCTGCCCGGAAGTTTGTGGCAGGAAATCTTGGAGGTCGAGGTGGATGCTTTTCGATCTGTTCGATGAGTGGACAAAATTGGGACGCAAAGCATCAAGGATCCTGCGTGGCTCAAAGCCGCATGTGACTGTGACACGGTGTACCTGTCAGTCCTTGGTTTTGTTGTTTTTCTAGTCAAACCGAGTCACGGCAGAAGAAAGGATGCTCCAAAGACGGAGCCCCTTAAACCATCAGCATAGGGAACCTCTTATCTACTGATCCACGCCGCTGTTGCTAGTGATCTAGATGTTTGCCTCCAGTGTCCCCATGGTCTAGAAGCATGGCCAAACAGCTGGAAGCCACGCCACACGCGGCAGCGTACCTATCTCGTTCCTCCTGTTGACGTCCCCGACGTGCTTCGTTGTGACAGAGCGCAGCACCGGTCGACCGACCCCGACAGGCACAAGGAGCTGCGGGCACACCCTCTCTTCCAGAGCCTGAAGCTGCCAAGCTATGAAGCCGGACCCACACAGGTGAGGCTGCTTCTTGACATGGACACTTCAATAGACTTCTATTTTTGATTGATAGGCTATAAGGACATAGAACCCATCCTTCCAATCTCTATACTCCCGCGCTCCAGGAGTCAGTTTCGTTGCTTCATCGAAAGACATTCAACAAGAATCATTCAGTCTATATATGTCTATATAGATAACAAGTCTTCTTTGAATGACAAGATTACAAGAATGACTTGAAGAATGACTTCATTCAATCATGTAATATATATAACTTAACAAGTTTGAATGACTCTTTCAAGATTCCAGATCCTTCAAGTTCCTCTCTCTCTCACACCGCTGTCTAGTCGCGTGGTCACCCTCCTCGTACTCGTCGCGTCGGCGTAGGTGGAAACCTGGCTGGACGAACGGGGCGCCTTGGCGGAGCGGTCCGCCGCCGGGCGAGTGGCGAGTGGTCGGGCCCAGGGGCATCCAACGTGCAGAGGAAGAGATGACACGAAACGGCGAAGACACCATGGGAAGAAGAGTGGGGTGCCATCCACTTCCGTGTGAATGTGCTTGTCAGAGTGTATTTTGAGTTATCTTTTATCAATCATTGTAACTTCGCACAGATCTGTCGCTCAATCAAAAGATCGTGCTGACTACAGCAGAAAGTTCGACCGAACGACTGCAGCAGATTTGTCGACCTCCAAAGTCGGACTGGCGAAATTGGTCTCCCACATGGTCGTCCTGAGTCTCGTCCTGATGTTATAGTGGTCCCCAATAATAGATATAGAATGATATAGAAATGGTTTCCCAAATTACTTTTCGTGGGGATCCACTTTTCATCTATTTGCGGGTCTCTCTCTCTCTCTCTTTCTATGTACATTTTTGATCTTTTTTGGAATCTAACAGAGAGGTTTGATAACACCAGGTCAGGTCGATACTTTTTTGCTCCACTAGATATATATCTAAAGCATGCCGTAAGTTGCCCCGTCAACCTCTGTACGGAACTGGATCTGGAACTGGAACTCCCCCCTACCCCAAAAAATCGCCACCATGTTTGGAACTGGATCTGGAACTGGAACTCCCCCCCCACCCCAAAAAAATCGCAACTACGTTTGGAACTAGAACTGGAACTAGCGAACCTGTTCGTATCCGCTGCGCGTCCATGCATGTGGGCCAGGCTGTTCCGTGTATGATGCTTGTTTTCATCCCACCATCCGCTTCACCCACAGATGCAATCAGATGCAAGCCACACGTGCTTGTTATCCGACTGCCTGCGAAGTCCACACATGCCCTGGGTCATTATGCTTGCAAGGCCTTGTTTTTCCTCTCCATCGAAAGAAACATGTATATATCATGTGGTGCAGTCTGAATGCTCTCGAGCAGAGGGGAGAAACATGTTACATGGCATGACCAAGTAAAGTCGCCCGACCAAAGAACCTGTTGAGGGCAGAAACCAAGTGTCAAAGCTAGGCATCTGTCAGAATATAAGAAATACATGCGAGCGTCTAGGTCTGGATCTGGAACTGGAACTGACTCCCCCCTGACCACTCTCAAATTGGATCTGGAACTGGAACTGGATCTGGAGCTGGAACTGGAACTGTTCCAACCACCTGGGGCACACTCTGAACCTCTGAGGGTTGGCCAGTCAGACAGTCTTTGGCATTGGTTTGCCTGGTTTGGGGATTTTCCGGGTAGAGCCAGAGCATACTTCGGATTGCTCAGGACCAACGATTCGTCAACGGACAGGGCGGAATCATGAGAACTCCAGCAACAAAAGACCACGTCAGAAGGCTGACCGGCAGGGTCCCTTGAGTTCTGCAACATGTTTGTGCATGTTTGTGAGCTCGTGTCTGAGGTTTCTTGAAGCGGCAGCGCTGAGTTGTGAGTGATGGATACGTCGTATACATACTTCCAGTCGCAAGGACAGGACATAAGTCCAATAGACATAGGTTTCCGAAAGTCGATTCCTGGAAGCACCTCACATGTGGGTCGGATTCAAGGCATGTCTCCAATTGGATTCGCCTCGGGTATCGTTCTTGGCGAGTGGACCGATCAGTGGCTTCGCCAAGCGGAGGGTGGAGTCGCATTCTCAAAAGGAGGCAACGAGACAACCATATATGATTCAAAGACAAAGACTTTGACAATCATATTGTTTGGATTGCGGTTCAAACACTCAACATCATTTTAAGGTGAATATGTAAAATTATCTATGGTTAAGTTCTATTATGTCAAGAGTAGTAGTTATATGTAGTTATGTAAGTGGAAGAAGCTTGGCGCCTATTTGCCCTGGATGCCTCCAAGTCCAGGTCCAGGTGGTTCGTACAGCCAATGTTAGCGTATTTGTCCGGGGCATGACTGGTTCCCTTCCAGCCAAGCAGCCTTCCTGAAGGAGTACAATGAATTTGGCGTGGAAGGCAGCCGGTCAGAGCACTTCCCTTTGCCTGGAACCGCAACAATCGTTGCTTGGTGATCGCTTCGCACCAAATTGCTTCAGTGTCAGTGAGAAAGATGGCAAACTTGCGCTGATACCTGGTGCATCCTGGTGCCATTGCCGGTGACACCCTGGGGGCGCTGGGGGTTTGAACGAAGACGGTATAGGATCTATCACTTTGAACACCTTTTCTCTCGATCTGGTAGACGTTTGACGAGGTTATGCTCTCATATCCCCCTCACGTCCATAGCACGCTTCCACATCCCTTCACGCTCTTGGTATCAGGCATTATGCGGACCCGTTTAGTATATCGCACCTGATCACTGCCATATCAGGGTCATGATGGGGTTTGGAAGAGCCCGGACCTTTACTGATACATCCAAGTGGTCAGTGGTCCATTCCGGAAAAGAGACAATCCTGTGCCACCTGGAACAAGAAGTGCTATCCGGTTTTCACGAAAGTGCCTCCCCCAAAGAGAGAGCTGATTTCTCTTCATACACTTATCTCGAAGACCGAGTATTGGTTAGATGTCTGTTTACTGTCTACCCGTTTCTTGAAGCATGTTCGAACTCCGATCTGGCAGGTGAAGCGGGAGGGCCTGATCCGAGACCATTGGCTCATTTTTGGCCTCCCAGCACAATTTGGGAGCCCGGGCCGAAAGTTGGATCCATGTGGGGCTGAACAGTCCAGGATCTTCATGCAATCCGTCATTCGAGGTCGTATTTACAGTATAGTTCTTTGGTTTCGTACAGGGATTTAGTTACACTGAAGTTGTTCCGGTGGCTCATCATCTTTGCTCTCAACCGCAACTCGACGTCCGGATTCCACACGACCGGGATTCTCTTCCCGGGGCGACGTGTGGATCACGGCGGGATCGAACGAACCCGCTGGGATCGGAGAGGCGCCACAAGGTTGGCGGCGAGTCCAAGCGAGGATAGACGGACAGCCCGCGTAGGAGGGCAGCATCGTTTGCGTGGTCCACTACACCCTGGAAGACGATCCCATGGACCCTGAAAAGCACTGGTTGGTAGAGGAAAACACCCTTCCAGGGGGCCATTGTCAGGGTCTATGTTAGTTTTCGGGAGTGTACTATTGATGGTGCTGCCCTTGGAAGAGGCGCTTTGAAGAGTGAAACTGTACTCATGTCAACAGAACAGTGGACCCCGTCTTGTGTGGCTTCCAGCCCCACCCATATTCTCTTGAAACCTGGCAGAAAGTGGCCCAATTGTCCAAGCATGCTTTGCCTCAGGCACTGGGCTCTTTATCTTCAAGACCTTCCCTTTCTTCAACTATTACTTTGGCCTGAGACCCAGTCTTTTCGGCTCACTTTCCGTTTTCGTAGAGTCAAAAACATATGGAGCTGAGATCTGGGACGAAATGGATGTTTTCAACTCTTTGGAGATCTGAGATCGTGAGATCCGGATAGATCCGGAGGATTTGGAGATTCTTTAGGCTTCTCTATGGCTCTGTGCTGGCAGTCCATACTTCTTGGGGTTCTTTGTGTAGTCTCGATCTATTTTACTTCAGCTTGACAAAGACGGGTGTTTGTTCCGTCTATTTTTCTCCAGAACCAGGACCTTGTTTCCATCTAAAGACCACACGACCACTCGACCACCAAGCTTTGCAGGTTTTTTGGCCAAGTAGAATGGGTCTGCATCACCTGGACCTTACATGAGAACACCAATCAACTGGAGATCACTAGAAGCCAATGTGTCCTTTGTAGCTGTTTATGCGCTTTTGATGCTATCTTGCTTATCAATACAGTCTATACATCTATACATTCAACGTTTCTGTCTACCTTTGCCCCTACCTCTATGTCGGTCCTCATCAGGGTCCCCAGGTGCCTCTGAACCTTTGTGCCTGTGCCTCTGCCTGTCCTCTGTGCTGCTCCATTCTCCTGTCTCTGTCTTTGTTTCTTTGTTTCTCTTTTTCTCTTTCTCTTTCTTTGTTTTGTTTTTTTTTTCTCTCTCTCTCCCTCTCTCTCTTTCTCTCTCTCCTTTTCTATTTTGCCCTGTCATCTGTCATGTCCCGGTGTGTACCTCGGACCGCTTTGAATCAGTATCTTGAAAAAGGGTCACCGACCCAAACAACGTCACCCAACGAATGGGATTCTCGCACACCGGACGGTCACAAGCGTCACGCTTGCGCTGAGGTGTGAAAGTCTTTGGCACCTCCATGTCGCTTTGAGATCAAATATTCAGTTTGTCTGCATGGATGAGGTTTTTAATGGTTTTTAGAAGGTTGAAGGATGTTGAATTTGGATTTGGATGGAGGAAGGATCATTTGATGATAGTTCTTGGAATGGAAAAGGAGACTTTGAGCGTGCTGCAAGTGGAGTGAAAAGACTCAAACGACAGATCCCCCCTCAAACTGGCTTGAACATGGATCCCAGCTGATGTCGCCCAGTCTCACTGGGCGTCATTATATAGGCGTTATCATCTCAAATGACATCCTTTTGGAACATTGGCATCCATGCAATCCACAATTATATAATATTATATAAGACTTTCACCCACCTGGTAGTTGCGTAATGGGACCAGTTTGGAAGTCTTTTTGGTCTTAGGAGAAGTCAGGCTGGCTTGCAAAAGATATCAATGATATTTTCATGATCCTTAGACCTTCCTGGGACGGACATGGATTGAAAGTTTTGTCTTCGATGTTGACATGTCACACATAGCACTTTGAAGAGCCACTCCCAAAAAACAAACGCCACTTTTGGGGATTGAGAAAGATGAGAACGATTGCTCTTGTGCTTTGGTGTGCCATTCAGCTCAAAAACCCGATAAACCTCCAAGATGTATTCTAGTTCTAGCTCGAAACTTGTATACAGGTGTACTGATATCTCCCAAGGCTCAAAACCGGCTGTAACAAGCCTCCCATTCGTGTTTGTTCCCTGTCGAGATGGTGTTGGATGCCGTCCACCTCTTTTCACATTCTTTCACCGTTTTCACCCGATCCCACCGCTCGGGACACCGAGCAGCACTCGTCCGGCTCAAAAAAAACGTCCTTCGTCGCATGTGGCGAGGTGGTGCTGGACCATGTGGCACGTCCTCAACCGCTTCATCGCCAAGACCACCCGCCGGAACGAGTACATGGCGGCGCAAAAGACCGCGCAGGAGGCGAGGCATAAGAGGCCTTGGGGTGACCAAGGTGTACAAGGTAGATGTCGGGGTCATTGTATGTCATTCTAGAACACCATGCGACATCTTTTTTTGGATGTTTTTTTGGGGTTTTGGTTTGGTAGAAGATCATGTGGGACCATGCCATCATAGAACAGCTTGGTGTTAGGGTCTTCCTTTGGTTTGCCTTTGGGACCCCTCCATGTGGAGTCCCCAAGACGCTGCTGCCCCGTCCCCAGCTTGCTGCCCCAGCTTTCTGCTCCCGCTCATGAAGACACAGGTCATGGAAGGCGAAGACAAGATCGTGGAATCCATGCGACGCTTCGCCAACGACGCCAAGTGCGTGGAGTATTTGAAGACCTTCAAAGAGGCCGAGCAGCGCAGTTGAGGGGGGATCCGAGCTGAGTTGGTGTGATTCAGCTCGGATTTCTGACCCCACCACCACCTTGGTGGAGTAGGGTTCACTGAAAAATATGTTTTTCAAAGAATTCAATCATATTCAATCTCAATTCTTCTGAAATATGATAGAATATATTAGAATATAATAGAATGTATTATTATAGATTAAACATGACTAAGCTATAAGATTCCCAGTTTGGTCGGGGATGGACGTGTTCATCAAGCACCCATTCTTCGGAGTGCTCGTACCTTCGAGGACTCCGAGTCCAAGATCGCTGCGTACCGCAAGGCGCCAGAGGGCCTCCGTGTCGACCGGGGGGGTGTGAAAGGCCTGACGTCGTGCGGGGACGTGAGACGTGAGCTGAAAAGGTTGTGTTTGTGATTTTCAGACTTGGCAAAGACTGAGTTTGGGGTGAAGAGTGGTTTCGACTTGCATGATCGTGGAGTCGCGCGTGGCTTCCAGGCTTTTTGGTTTCCGGAGCGTGATCCCATCAACTCACCGGAGCTGTGTCAGGTTCACCGACAAGCGGCGTGTTCGGCGTATCGCGTGGGGACCGAGGGACGCCGGGAGGCGCTGGTGGTGAAGATGCAGGAGGATCTCACCGAGCGTGCGAGTAAGCAGCTCCAGGCGATTGCCGCCTTCGAGGCCAGGACATTCCTATAAACTCTTGAAGCCTTAGGCTTCGTGTTCAGGAGTTGTCTGCTCTTTTTCCTGTTTTACCATGTGGTGGGAGACCTGGGCTCCGTCGAAGGCTGGCATGGGCTCAGCGATGCAGGATTTGGTAGTGCGAGAGGCGTGGTTCTCAGATGTGCTGACGGTGTGCATCGATTTGATGGGGAGGTGGAGGTGCAGCAACCCAGGAGAAGTGGGTGAACCTTGAGCCTTTCTGGTGAGTTCGTGTGCCCCTAAAGATGAACACCTAGGACCA